AGGTGCCAAGATTTTTACATATTCAATTGTTTTATTCATAGTCCAAAAAACCCAATTTTTAGCCATTTAGAACCTAGTTGCTTTTCATACCCTGGGACTCTGAAACTAACACTTGCTAACCATAGGTAAGGCAAAGATTCCAAGTTATTTCTGCCCATCACAACACTCAGGAACAGTCTGAGCTAACATTTCTCCAGACTAGCATTTCTCAGACAAATAAGTCTTCTCTCTGATCCCCTCTCTCTCCAGGTTGTTCCTTAGCCTTCCCCCCCTTCTGAGTAGTCATGCCTCAATAGAAGCCTCTAGAAGGTCTTATGCCCTGAGGGATTTCCCCTGCCAGCAAATTTATCAAAGCAATGATTACCAAAATAAAACTTTTATGTTCTACTGCCACCTTGTGGTCATATTGTTTTCCTGTTAGTCTCCCAAATCCTTCAAACTCTACACAATCCCTACATGACTATCTTTGACCAAACAAAGGAGTCACTCCAATTTTGATTCAGAAAATAAGAGTTCCACACATACTTTTTTTAGGAAACAATACCAATATCTTCAGTTAATGGAACTGGACTATTTGTAGTCCCATATATTCCTCTGGCACTTTGTTGACCCAATCACAATGCAGAATTCTCCCCTTTCCTCCATTCATCTGTTATCAACTCGTCACCCTTGGAAAATACTATTCATTTTACCAGTGTTAATGAAAACCTCAAGTTCTCATTAACTTTAATATTTCCCATTACATTTTTTATGTCATTGAAGTTATTTCATGGATTTGATTTCTTTTTTGACACATTTTAGATGCATATCATGGAATTTCTAAATTAAAAGAATTTTGATTCTGATGCTGAAATCCCTTCTACCACCTTCCCCAGTCTATGTTTAATGAAATCCAAAATATGTTTGGATTACTTCAGAAAGTAATTTTCTGAAGCTGCCTGCTCCATCACTGAATATGTTTCTCTATTAGAAAGGTATTCTTTATATTACAAGGTGTTTTGCTATAACTTTTAATTTTTTTTTAATTCTGTACTATCGGGATTAAATGAAACAAATAGAATTAATCTATTAAATGATCTTCCTTTCTTTGTTCCAATAGTCTTTTTTCTCCAGTTTTTTCACCAATTTAAAAATCACAGTTTCTTCCACTGTTACTCATTTTCTGTTCTTCTAAAACCCTTTAACACTGTTTTATTCCAAATTCACTGCAGTTGAACCATGTACATATTAAATGATGAGGCCCAGACTTATGAAGGATTCTTCACCTGTTGAACCAAGCGAGATTAGCACAATACTTCCACTTATTGGAAGTATTGTGCTAAAGTTGCTAAAGTTGTAGCAACCATAATGATGATTTACACATTTCATTTACTTTTCTCTGGATGAAGTGAGATTGGAAGAACAAATTCACAGACTAAATAGGACAATTGTTTATAGTCAGATGATAGTGGAACAGTTGTTACTGATCCAAAAGCCCCACCATTAGCACAGCATACTTGGCACTGGTGTATGTGTCAAACACGAAAAGGAACAGATGGAGTAAGTCTTTGAAGTGTTCAATGAAGTCTTCATTGTGTTCAATGAAGTCTTCAAGTGTTCAATGAAGTCTTCAAACTAACCTTTGTCTTTATATATTTTGGTTTGATAGGCCTCTTGGTCATACATTTTCCTTCCTAAATCCAGTGTCATTCTTTTTGAGAGGGAAAAAAAGAAAAGCTGCATTGCTATAAAAATATATACAGATGCTTTTGTTTATATTTAATATTGTTTATATTAAATATTTATATTTAATATTTTGTTTATATTTAATATTGTTTATATTTAATATAAAAATATTTAATATTAAATATTTTGTTAATATTTAATAAGGTTTAAGGTCAACTTATTCTTTGACTTAGAACAAGACCTTACCATCTTTCCCTTTCCCCTAGAGGCTGGACCAGTTTAGATTTCAGTTAAATATTTTCTGTGATCTGGCCAAAACTTTTTCAGTGTTATCCCTAGATGAGGCCACTGGGAGAAGCTGGATAATCCAGGCGGGTCAAAAAAAAACCCTTGGTACACTTATTATAAAGAGTATGGAGGGCTGGGGCTTAGTGGTGAGGCCTGAGTGCACACAGAGCTCTGAATCACCACCCAACCAAGATGGGCCATCAAGGGCAGAAGAGCCACAGCTCTGAGTGTGTGCACTACATACTGTCCTTTAGAGGCAGGGGTGTCATTGTTCCTACCCAAGTCAGGAAAGACCACAGGGTCCTTGACAAGTGCATGTAACCACCTTTCAAGATGTTTAAGCAACACAGTCATTGTGCAGACTTCCAGTGATAACCATACTAGATATTACCTCCCCACCCTCACCCACTTTTAGAAGCCTGCTAAGAAACTTGAATAGAAACACCACTCTGTTTGATCTGTGGCACATATTCTCCTGCTGAAATGAGAGACCAAGGAGACGAGGGTTGACTTGCATTCTTCAAGAGAGAGAAACCTAAATGTGAACAACTACCCTCTACCAAGTCCTGTCATTCTCACTACACAGCTTCAGGTAAGGTAGAGCCAGATATTTTTGTAATGTCTTTTTTACTTTCCTTTCACCTCGTGTTGTATTTTCTCCACATGAAGACCTGAATTAGAAGTTTGTTCCTAATAAAAATTAGTTTCTGAGTTCTATATCATAGCCTCTATCAACAGAAATGATTATATAAACTTTAGGTTATGTGTTTTGATTAGAAATATATAAGCAAATCTATTTAATAAAAACAACACTTTTGCCTAAATTGAGATGTTAGCTACACCACAAAAAAAAAAAACAAAAAAAAAAACAAAAACACCACATGGACCAGATGCAAATTGTGGATGTCAATTTTATTCTCTACCTTATCACTGATTCATGTCAAGTATATCAGAGTTCCTGACCTTGAGTATAGGAACAAAAGAAAATGCCAGGAAGTAGGGAAGAACATTTTTCTATTAAAGCATATTGGCTAACCACAAATGGAAATAAATGTTGGTTGCAGACTGCAAACACATTTAAAAATAGGAGGAAAAGATTACAAAAGTCATTAAATAAAAATATTTAAGATACAATTAGATATAGAAACTGACAGAAGACAGCAAAAGAGCAGTGCACACACAAGTGTGTGTGCACCCTTAGAGCATGATCATGACTTAGCATCGATAAGACAGCAGAGAAAAGTAGACGATAGTGATACCAAACACCAGCCTCAGTTTCCCTCAGCCAATGAAAGGAAACAGAGTTTGAGGAAAAGGAAAGCAGTTTAATTTGTTAACAAATGAGAAGGGTAGCAGACTCATGTCTGAAAGACCACTGTCCTGCTCTTTGGCAGAGTGCAGGTGTATTTATACAAAGGAAAAAAGGGGGGTGGGATGGGCAAGGGTCTGAGAGGGGAGGGGGAAAGAAAAAGGTTCAGCACAGAGACTGGTGGGCGCCAGCTTGCTTTTTTTCAACAATTTCTGTTTAATTCCCTTTTCCTTGGAATGCAAGAAGACTAACCTGTCAAACAAGGGGGAAATTGCAAGAAATAAGGAAAGACCAACTTGTTAATGCTTATCTTAGAGACCAGTCACAAAGAAAGCTAACCTGTCAAATAAGGGGGAAATTGCAACAGATGGGGGAAGACAAATTTGTTAATTCTTATCTGAGAGACCAGTCATTTGTAACTGCATCAACGGGACATAAAGAAAGATGAAGTGATTCAAAGAGAAGCAGCTTTGAGGGGTTCCTCGAGTGGGGATGCTGTGGATATCCTCCTGCTTACGTGGAGGAGGGTGTCTCCCCATTGAAAATAAGTCCTCGTTGCCTTACTTTTGTTTTTAGCAAACTGGAGGGTCCAGTCTTTTAGTGACATAACACTAGTTATTTTTGCTCTATGTGGCAAAATGTATGAAGTGTACCATTAGGAGGTACTTTGCTGTCTTCTGATAATCTTCATATTAGGACTGAAGCCTGTGCATTCTAGCTAGGGTAAATTTCAGTGAAAATTCATACCAATCTAATTAATTTATTTTTATTGAGGTAATATTGGTTTACAACACTGTAATTGACTCAGAGGGATCTATAGTTCTTCAACATTTATTCAAGATGACAGTGCATGAAGCTTGCTCCTCTTCAACAAATTTCTAACTGCACAGAGGACCAAGTGAAAATAAAGACTATTTGGAGAGTCATGCATATGTCACTAAGCACTAAAAGAAATTGACAAGGCAAATTGGGATTGCTTTATGAAGTTCTTTAAAACTAAGTGGACACACAAATGTTGGAAATGGCCTGGCTGTGAAAAATCTGATTATAAAAACCACTTTCCTTATCTCTCCTCCAGTATTCCCAAGACTACATGGAAAATACGCCCATACTAGATAAAATTATGCAAATGGTATTAAAGAGTCCAGTAGAAAACAAACTCTTGCTTGTGACTACATATTTTTGCAGTATTTTCTTGAACTATGCAATGGTTTCCATCTTCATATGTCCTTCTATAGGTTTGGCTCAGGCTGAAGGGTCTCACCTAGACTGTAAGCCCCTGAATGGGGACAGAGAGCCTCCCTTGTTCTGTGTAGATATGATGGCATTCAAAAAAAAAACAGAGTTTATTTTTATTTTGTTATTGAGGCAATCTTCATTTACAACACTATGTATTTTACAGGAAAACAGATTCACACCTCTACAGATATATTCTCACACCATTCCCACCACCAAAGCACCAATAATCTTTCAGCATAGTCCACTCAGCCCCTACCTCTTTAAAAGCAGATGACGAATGCACCCTGATGGGCATGGTGATCATAGCAGTACAGCTGTAAAAAGATCCTCATTTCCTCCAGTATCACACTGGACAAAGAACACTAAAAATCTCTTAGTGACCTAAAACTATGCTACTGATTGAACAGCGAAGTAATTCAGAGAACATTCAATAAGAAAACGTCTGTAGAGTTATTTGTAACATGGCAATGTCTTATTATTGCAGTTTTAGGAGGAAAAAATGAAAAGCCCAGGAGACAATAATCACTCTGTCCTTGTGAGTGAATTCATTCTTCTTGGATTCCCTTGTTCCTGGGAGATTCAGATCCTCCTCTTCTCATTCTTCTCCGTCATCTATGGTCTGACACTGACTGGAAACCTGTGCATTATCTGTGCTGTGATATGGGACCACCGACTCCAAACGCCAATGTACATCCTGCTGGCCAATTTTTCATTCCTAGAGATCTGGTATGTCACTTCCACGGTCCCTAAAATGCTAGCTAATTTTCTCTCTGAGATCAGCACCATCTCCTTCTCCGGCTGTTTCATCCAATTCTACTTCTTCTTCTCCATGGGCACCACCGAGACCTTCTTCTTGTCTGCCATGGCCTTTGATAGGTACCTGGCCATCTGCAGGCCCCTGCACTACCCCACTATCATGACAGTTCAGCGCTGCATCAGAATGGGAGCTGGCTGCTGGGTTTCTGGCTTCTCATGTTTTCTCCTCCCAGTTTATCTTGTCTCCCAGCTGCCTTTTTGTGGCCCCAATACCATTGATCACTTTCTTTGTGACCCAGGACCTCTTATAAAACTGTCCTGTGTGCCAGCTCCTGGCACTGAGATCACCTGTGCCATCTTTAACTCAGTCCTCATCTTCTCTACCTTCCTCTTCATCACCAGCTCCTACACCCTGGTGATCAGGGCTGTGCTGAAGGTCCCCTCAGCAGAAGGCCGGCACAAGGCCTTCTCCACATGTGGCTCCCACCTAGCCGTGGTGTCCCTGTTCTTTGGCTCCATCATGGTGATGTATGTGAGCCCATCAGCAGGCAACCCAGCAGGGATCCAGAAAATTGTGACTTTATTTTATTCTGTGATGACTCCATTTTTCAATCCCTTGATCTACAGCCTCCGGAATAAAGAGATGAAAGAAGCCCTGAGAAAACTGTTTAGGATTGGAGTAGGACAATCTCTCAAGAATTAGAACCCATCTATGTGAAGGGCACGTAAAGATGGGAAATTATGAGAGGTTAGTGGTCTTAAGTAAGCTGGAGAGAGAGAAATGCTTCCCATATTTCCTGGAATTTATGTAGGGATGTATTTCAATGAAGCAAATAACAAATAAGATTATATCAGAACTTGCATAAATCATTTATACTAAGTTTTATTATATTAATACTCCTGTGTGTGTAATATGTGGAAACAAGACACTGTCAGGCACTTTTAATGGAAAAAGAGCATATTTATAATCCAGACATCAACTGGTCTGTTTCTATCTTTTTTTGGTAAATTTGCCTCCAACCTTCAGATTCACAGTGATTAGGTATCTAGAGTCCCCACCACTATCTCCCTAAACACACACACACACACACACACACCATTCCAACTTGTTTACTTCTGCTTTTATCCTGTTACTCCTGAATCCAACTGCTGCCTTATTTTGATCCATCAATCTAGATGTGTGAATTCATCATTTTATGCAAAACCAAACTCACTCCAGCTTAGGTTTATTAACTTATCACTTAGGTTTATCAACTTGATTACAGGATGGGGTTGGCACAGGCAGAGGAAAGGTCACTAAGACAACCACCCATATCACATCTTGTAGATGCTGTTTTCTCTCTCTTCTACATTCTCTTCCCACCACCCTCAAGAATTACCAGGAAATCTTTTCCTTTCTTATTCAGTATAATTTTGCCCAGATGTAGATCCTTTAGGGTTTGAGATTCTTCCTCAAATGGACTTGTCAAAAAATTTCTCCTAGCAATCCTTCTTTATCTTTGTACTACCAGGGACACTGAATGCAAAAGAATAAATTCACTGATATAAAGTAGAGGTGAGACCTGGAACAAATCAACTAGAAAAAATTAATGAAACAATAACAATTTATATTTTAAGTGCTTTATGATTTTTCAAATTTCTCTCCCCATATCCATTAGATGAAGAATAGCCATGCTGATGGCAGTAGTATGTGAGAGTTCTGAGCATAAATAATATATAGCATTGCTAGTCTCTGAAATAAGGGTATATTACCCTCCAGTTAACCTCAAAATAACCTAGAATCGCAATATTGCATCTTAATACACAAATCTTATTCTGAGGAAATACAACCTCATCTACTAGTGAAATTGAGCCCAGTTCCATAAAAACACAAAAAGCAGATTCACTGGTCTATCTTCATCATAGTTATGCAAGGGAGATGAAAGCCAGGTTTTATGTGGGAGGATAGCATGATTTAGTTTAAAGCTTGGGTGTATGGCAAAGGGTGGTCTATAAAGCCAAGCCCCTTATGTAAAAGCAACCCCTCAGCTACTAGTCATGAGCAGAAGAAACTTTGTGCACCCCCTCCTCAAGGGGACCACCCACGCACATTAGGCTGCACACTTCAGCTCCAGGGCACAGAGGAGGGACAATCACCATTCCCTCCCCTGCACTGTAACTTACATTACAGACAATCTGCAGAGCTTTAAACAATATCCTTGGCAGAGGAAGGAAGAAGTGAGCCCCATTCTCTTATTAGAAACACTGAATGAAAGAGGAAAGCTTAAACTTCCAACTCCCTAAAAGGAAGGAAGGCAAGGGGAGAGGGAGGGGATTAAAAATAGCAAACAAATACTGATCAATTATGTCTTGAATTGAAGCTCAGAATTTGTTCTTATTGCACCACTTATTTTTCTGCCTATCTTTCTTTCCCAAAGACTAGCAGATATTTGATGTAAATTTTAATAAATATAATTTCAAAAGATAATCATCAAGAAGAAAATATAATGGAGGGAAAATGCCATTCCTAATAGCAAAAAAATGCAGTATATCTCTAAATAAATTCAAAGAGGAGTGTATATGAAGAAAATTGCAAACACTTAAAACAGTACAAAAAAAGATACAAATAGTGACATACACCATGTTTCTTTATGTGATGAGCATATGTAAGTTTGCCATATCACCCCAAATAAATTAATAAAAATAATGAAGAGAAAATATGATAACATCAAAATCATACATATGCACATGTTCAGTAATTGGAGAGTGAATTATCACATATTTCAATTATAGAATATCATACAACCATTGAAATCATGTTTTGAAATATATTTCATGACATGGGAAAATGTTAATTATATAATGCTAAGTTTAATTTTACTTTTTCCAAAACATAAAGGACTTATAACAATTGCTTCCAAATTTATTTTGTAATTAAGATAATACAAAAAGGAAATATATGTAAACTATTACAGCTACAATCTCTTAGTAAAATGGTGAATGATTTTTCTGTTATTTTTTCCTCATCAAAATAATTTTTTAATTTAATTAAAAATATCAACTTGACATTGTTAAGAAAATAAGCCTTAATCTTTATTTCTAATTCTTCTTTAAGAGTGAAGTAAGATGAAATAATGCCTTTTGGGACAAAAAGTATGGAACTTGAGGTGATTAGGCTAAGTGAAAAAACTCAGAAAGTGAAAGACAAATATCACATTGTTTCACTTATCTCTGGAATACAAATAACTAAAAAGCATACACTGGCAAAGCACAGCAAGAACAATTCTTAGACTTAGTGCAAAATGTACTGTTTACCAGAAGAAACAGTGGAAGGAGGGGTAGAGGAAGGAAGAACAGAGGACTCTGGCATGGGAGGTGGTGGAGAATGGATGAAGCATTTGCTCATATGGAAGAGTAAAAGTGTAACCCAAAAGTTAGATAGATATGTAATTAAATGACAAATGAATAATAAAAATAAATATATATAACAGTGAAGTGGGTCGGAGGGTCTTGCTTTGGGAAGTGAATCAGCATAATGAGATTTTCATTCTGGCAACTACATGCTGCAACTGAAGCAGTCACTGAAGACACTGGCAGCAAAATCTGGAAAGATTTGGGAGTTATGCCCTATCTCATAAACTAAAGTTGGCTCAGAACCAATATCCTGAGACCTATTCCTTTAAGAACAAAATTACACAAACATATAATATACAAATAAGTGGTTAAATCTTGTATTTTCTGTAAGTGGTCTTGGAAATTTTACTCGCTGCCTAGAGCTCATTTAAGACATAAGGTCGTGTTTCAGTGCAGCATGTGTTGGTCAGTGCAGCATGTGTTGTGTTGGTCCTCATTAAGTATCATCTCAACAGTGTTATAAACTCATCGCATAAGTAGATAGCATGTGACAATTTTTCTTAGTGTGACGATTGGCAAAAGGTATAGAATAATGGAAATTGTTATCATTTACTTATGAGAATGTACATTTGGGGAACCATTTTTGGAATACTGTTTGACATTATCTGTTAGTATTTAACAGATGCATTTCCAAGGATCCAATTTCATATACATATAACATAAATATTTGCAGGCATATATAAAAAGTTATGTAGAATACTATTCATAATGGTATTTTTCTTTTTTTCTTTTTTTTAAAAATATTTATTTATTTATTTATACAAGCACTGGGTACAGTCAGAAGGGCAGGAGGGTGAGAGAATTCACCAGAGCCAGAGCAGGGAACAGAACAGGCAGACCAACGAAATACACTGTTTAGGGGAGCAGCAGGCATGGCAGGAGAGGTCTGTCGTGCCTTCTGGGACCCTCACTGGTGGCTGGGGTTCGAATGGGCACTGCAGAGGCTGCGGGCAGCTTCGCAGCCCAGCACTCAATTGCTGCACCACCAGGGGAGGCCCCATAATGGTATTTTTCATAACAGCCCAAAACTGGAAACATCCCAAATTGTTGTTCCAACATTGATATAGAAACCAGTGGCATATTAATTGAAAGGAAAATTAAGAATATATATTAGGAATAAAAGAATCAACAGGAAAATAAATGAACTATATGAAAAACGACTGATTAATCTCACAAATATAATTATTAATAAAGATTCTGGACACAAAATACATGTTATATGATTTCATTTATGTACAATTTCAAAAACAGAGAAACTGATGGTGTTGGAAGTAAGGATGGAGGGTAGTTTGGAGATGAAATAGAAGTGTTTGGAAGGGGTCACAATATGATTTTTGTGATGCTGGGTAATGTTCTATTTTTTGACCTAGGTGTTGGCTAAATGGATGTGCATACTTTTAATAATTTAGTGACTTGCAATATGTGTACTTTTAGGTACATTGTTTTAAAATTACAACTACAAAAAGTTAAGCCACATAATTTTATTCTCTGCTCATATCCTGGTCCTTTCTTATAGTGATCGTCAATGTCTTTGCAATGAACACACCCTAGTGATCCACCCTCAATTTCTCTCTCTACAATCAAGTCCCACTTCTTTCCTCATTGCATGCACTGCTCTTGCCACACTGGCCTCCTTGCTGCTTCTTCAATCAATGTACTATGACTTTCTTCCATCCCTGCTCCCTATAGTCAACTATTTCTTTTGTCTAGAATGCAATTCCCCCAGATATCCATAAAGTTCTTTCTTTCACTTTAAAACATTGATTAAATAATACCTTCTTGGTGAGACTTTCCTGATTGCTGTATTTACAATCAACCTTCCTCATTCTAACATTCCCTCCAAAGACCTTACTTTGTTTTTCTCTAAATTGTTTTCTAATATACTACTGAAGTATTTATAATTTTTTTCTTTTCTCTCCAATAAAATGTAGCCTATGAAAGTAGGAGTGTTAGGTTTCATGGGCTCATGGATCTGACATAAAGATTGGCAGGTGGAGGGTATTCAGTAAATAAGTGCTGAATCACCAACTGCCAACTAAATTTCTTAAACTCCTAACTCATTGTGCTCTATATAAAATGTAACTCAAATTTCTCTAAAAAGTTATACAAGTACATATCTATGATGGACAAAAACAATTTCTCCTTCTTTAAAATAAATGTAGGGAACCTAATGGCAGAGTTCCCTATTGTATTTATTATGACAATTCCAATCACCAAAGTACTTAACTATTCCCCAGGAACCATCAACAATACATGGATACTAAAGAGAAAGAAAGGTAGAATCTACTTTTACATTTGCCACTATTCTTTGGGGAACAATAAACCTGGGTGTTTGGTTGTAAATAAAAATTTTAAATTATCTCCTCTTTTGGACAAACATCACCAAATCATCAAGAGAATCCCAAATCTCAAAAGACCATGATGCAAGAAAACAAACATATATACATATACCTTCGTCTGGGCTTCATTTGACCGCAAACATGTGCTTTTAAGTTGAAAAAATGGCTTTTAGCCTTCACTCTTTGAAACTCATGAGAGGTTACAAACTGGATCATCTGATTTCTTGGAATTCTCTCATATATCTTTTGTTCCATGGAGTAAAAGTTTATCCTCCACCTCTGACCTTATTTTCAGTGGTCATCCAAGGAGTGAGTCCAAATATTTAACTTATGAGCCACATGTATGCAATGGTATGCAACTGCAATTTAATAGACAGTATTTGCATTTTACCTTTGAGAAAACAAATAATTTCATTGGAATGTAACCCTATTTTAAACCCCATAAAAATGTGGATTTTCTTGTTTCCCTAAATTGGGAGGATATTTTTCACTTAATTGACATATCCTTTTGAAAGATGAAAAAGATGTTATGTAAAAATGCTTAGTATTTCAAGTGAAAATATGAATTACCTGATAAATTACTGGAAATATTTTTTTATTATGTTATTTGTTTGGCAAATAGAAGAAATATGGCAGTTATCTCTGATTATTTCTTCTCTCCCAAGTCTGTATATTGCAATTCATTTCCCTTATACTAATGAGCTGTAATTTTATGTGAATTAATTCTTCTTTAAATAACAAAAATATTCAGTATATACATGAGTTTATTATTTTTGTTGCACTTATAAACAGGATTTACTCTGAACTACAGAAATGGACAATTACTATCCCCAAGAAACATTCAGAAACAAAAAGGGTAAGTATCAATAATAATTTGAAACAAATCTTTGTTTCAATAGTCTCTAAATTAAGTGAGGTGGCTGAGAGTAGGGTCCTGAGTAAATAGGACACAAGAATATCTAAAGGAAAAACAGACAGTCCATTAAAATAGTAAAATATCAAACTAGATATACCCATTGAAATGAGATATTGGGAAACACAATTCCCCTAAGAAACCTGTGTAACTGAATTCTCTCTTTAAAAACACTTATTAGATCAAGTTTTAGACAATTCATAGACCCAAGAACTCAGCTGACCGTATTTAGTACATTCATTTTTATACAGCCAGGAGCAATGAGTGTCTACAAAGAGTAGTCTTTCCAACTTAGGTACCCTCACAATAATCAAGTCAGCATTTGCAGTGTACCTGGTCTGACCTAGAAGTTTGATCATCTATGCAGAAATATGTGAAGGATTTCCTGGCTCATGGTCTTAGATTCTCACTTTGCTTCTGTAATTTACTAAATTTTCCGTATAAATTATAAAAATATCTCTAGTAAGGGAAAACTCAGCCAAATGGATTAAAAGTTTACTATTAACCCTTGCTTATAAGTTCCATAAATGCAGAACTTGTCCTACCCACAGTACCTACAAGAACTCTTTGATACAATGAAGAAATTTAATAAATATCTTTTAATGATAAAGTCCTGAAGAAACAAGAGAATTTACATTTGATTCAATAACAACTATCCTGAGGTGGAAATAACCAGAAAAAGAGAAGTAAGTAGTGCCATATTTCAGAGTTGCCTGGATAGGCCTAGAGAGATATAAAATGATACCAAAAGCTGGTCTAAAAGGAAGAAATGTGAACATGTGGGAAAATATAAAGTCTACTTATAAGACCATCTTTCTTGTAGCAGACTTGACTGTGGCTACCATGTAGAGGCCCACTGAACTCGACTACTGTCACTCAGAACAATTCCCTCTCTAAAGTCAGTTGCCATAATAGGCATATCTGGTTCATGTACCTATGGCAGTATATGAGAATGTTTAATTAGAGCAATTTTGAGGCCAAAGTATAGAACTCATCATAGTAATAATACATCCATCTGCCTAAACAGTCATGTTTTTATACTAACCATTGACATGGATACATGAAATAGCATGAAAACCATGTATGCTGACATGGTATAAGTTTTCTTTATTATCACTTTAAAGCAAAATAATGAAGATGGATACACTGAAAGTGAAAATGAAAATTAATATGTGCCTTGTCATGGCATTACATTAAGACAGTCTTTTAAAATATTTTGATTTAGTATTTTATGATTTTTATCAATTATCAAGCATAAAAAACCAGGGATTCATAGTACTATTCAAAGAACTTCTCATGCACAGAAATGTAGCATCAATAGTGCAGGTAAACAGATGAGAAAGCAAACTATTGAATGTAGATAATTTATCAGAATCACAAAAGTATTCACTCCTAGTATCAAATCTAATATTCTTAGCAAGGTAAAAATTTGCCTGCAATTCCATTTCCCTCCTTTTTTATTATTGTAACGTTAAAATAATTCATGTTCAGGAGCTGAGCCATAAAAGTCACATTTTTGTTGATTAAGTAAGTCTGTTTACTAGTATATGAAATAAATGATAACGAAATCTGGTGTTTTTAGAAAGAGGCAGCATATGCCACTAAAGTGCAATAACTAATGTTAACTCTGTACCTTCCAGAGGAATGAATGTGTCTGGCAAAGGAATCACCTCCTCTGTGAGCCATTTCATCCTCATGGGCTTTCCCTCCAGCCCAGAAAGGCAGCTCCTCTACTTTGGGCTCTTCTCAGTAACCTACATCCTGACCCTGATGGGGAATGCGGCCATTGCCTGTGCTGTGCTGTGGGACCGCCGCCTTCACACCCCCATGTACATCTTCTTGGGCAATTTCTCTCTCCTGGAAATATGTTATGTCACCACCAGTGTCCCTAACATGTTGGCCAACTTCCTGTCCACAACCAAGTCTATCTCCTTCGTGAGCTGTTTTGCACAGTTCTACTTCTTCTTCTCCTTTGGGTGTGATGAGGGCTTCTACCTCTGCATCATGGCATTTGACAGGTACCTCGCCATCTGCCGCCCTCTGCATTACCCGCGCATCATGACTAAACAGCTGTACACTGGCCTGGTCATCTTTGGATGGTCAGGTGGTTTGATCATCTTCGTAACCCCAGTTGTTCTCATTTCCCAGTTGCCCTATTGTGGTCCAAATATCATCAACCATTTTATGTGTGATCCTGTCCCTTTGATGATGCTTTCCTGTTCTGAAGATAAAACCACACAGTCCATTTACTCTACTTTCAATACTATTTTTATGATTGGCACCTTCCTCTTTGTTATCTGTTCATATGCCCTAGTGATTCTGTCTGTTCTACGGATGCCCTCAGCAGCGAGCAAACGCAAGGCTTTCTCCACGTGTGCATCTCACCTGGCTGTGGTGTTCTTGTTTTTCGGGTCTGTTATGGTGATGTATATTACCCCTGGATCAGGGCACCCAGTAAAAATGCAAAAAATCATTACTTTGTTTTATTCTGTGATAACACCTCTGTGCAATCCTCTAATATATAGCCTGAGGAACAAGGAAATGAAGGCTGCACTGAGGAAGATATTCAGAATTGAAAAAGGTTTTCATAAAATATAAATGTGATCCAAATTTCATATCTCAAATGCAACTTACTGTTCTTAATAAGACATGAATGTTCATATTTGTCTACATGTTCATTGTTTTACTAAGATATAGCAGTCTTACTTAAGATGTTTTAGAATGTGAATTCAATATTGTTTTGAATTAATATCAAGTAAAATATTATGTGTCTAAGCCAATCAGTCCCTTTATATGTAATTCAATTTCTAAAATGAAGGCAGAAGACTATTTTGCAACTGACACACATGTCACAGAGATTAACACCATAAGCCAATAATGCTTCACTGGGGCATGTTGGCTGTTAATGAAGATTCAAATTTGAAGGAAGTCCACCTTGCCAAAATAAATAAATCTGAGTAAATAAATAAATAAATCTTTTGAGTAAATAAATCTTTTCTGCTTTTGGGAATTACAATTTAGTTACTCATTGCAACTGATAGATGAAATTTTTACAAATTAATAAACATTGCTTAGTTTAATCCATGGCAATTTACTTGTAAATAAGTAAGCAAATAACAAATACAGTTGCTGTATGGTTGTTAATATACTGCTTTCTTAGATCATCTGTACTAACTTTGGATATTTTATCATTAGTTGATTGTCAAATAAAATAATGGCTCTCCAAAAAAAAAAAAAATGTAGCACAGTTCTAAGGAAACAAATTAATAGTCTCAGCCAAATATTAAGTGATCTTTGAGAGTACACAAGACAAACATTAGAAATTTAAGGTATATTATTTGCCAGGAATATAGTAAAGGTGAAACATAAAGCCAGGGGCATTGTTCAGCGCATCACTCATTTTGGGGTAAATCCAGTTTAAATGACAGCTTCAGGTACCATATGCAGTTTAGTGTTAGTGCTGTGTGGGTTATTTTAGTACTGCAACAAGCATCCTTAAAACTATTTATATAAAATATTTCATTAACATTGTTGCTTTAATTATGACTTTTATTCTGTTCTACTATCATATTTTAAATGACTCTCCAAACAAAGATTCACAATATAAAATGTAATTTACAGAACTTTTAATTTGCAGCCTTTATGAAGTCACTCATTCAGTGAAGGTGGTATAAGATCAATTTGATTTCCTTTCATAAAGAATTTGGGTTGAGAATATTTTCTGTAGGTAAAAGACAGGACTTCTGCATTGTGGAAAAGAAGTGGATGTCTTTGTTCTACTTCATGTAAGAAACATAGCCAGCTGAAAAATCGCCTGAAAAACTACTTTATGTAGGAAGGAAGTGCAAATATTGTGTGAATGGACCTATGAAAGTAAGGATAAAGTGTGCATAGTTTTTTCTTAAAATAATGTTCATAAGGCAGGATTTCCAGTGGAGGCTCTCAACCACCAGGAATGAGTCATCCAGATGCCAGGCAGTTCTGCCCTCCTTCACCTCAGCACGCACACAAAGTGAGAGAGCAAGATGTGCTTGGAAGCTTTGTATGAACCGCAAACTATAGGGACTCTTACCAAGGGTGATGAAGCCACTGAGGACACAGTCTTAATGAGAACACAGTGTCAAGTCCTCAATGCAGTTCGAAAATCAACCAGAAATGGTTGATAAATTTTTTTTCCTCCCTCTGCCTACTAAAAGTTTTTCTTCATATTAATATAAAGGAATAGCATTAATAATGACATGGATACTTCCTTTTAGGTCACAAATATCTAGTAACTAGTTATTCTATTTATAGTAACTCATTGTAAGAGAAACTCATCATAGAGCTAAAAAAAAAAGAAAAAGGCAAACAAACTAATGCCCAACAGGAGAAAATCACTTAAATAAATTATTTTGTAGCCATAGATGAAATATTATATTTCCATTTGTGATTAAGTAGACTTAAATTTAATAATATGGCAATGATTCACTCTGGTTTGTATATTGTAAAAATTATGCTTCAAGCAACATATATTGTATGGTCCCATTTTTTAAATGAAAATATAAATGTTAATTATATATGGAATATAGAGAAATCAAACAAAGACAAACTTTCATATACACAATGGAATATTAGTCAGCAATCAAAAAAGCTAAACTCATGCAATTTGCAGCAACATGGATGGAGCTGGAAGGGATCATGCTCACAAAATAAGCCAGAAAGAAAAAGGAAAATACTGGGTGCTTTCACTCATAGCAGGAATTTAGAAAACCTAAATAAGGGACCAGGAAAAAGGCTAATTATGATAAAGTAAAAATCAAAATCAACAAGCAACTATAAACCAGAGACACACTGGGGAGGGAAGAGAGGAGGGAGTAGGGTCAAAATAAGGGGAGGTGGGAATTGTATGAGGAATATAACCAAAATGAAAAAGCATACATAGTGGCAGCGATGGCCGAGTGGTTAAGGCGTTGGACTTGAAAAAGCATACATTGTGCAAAAATGGAAAATGAAAAAAATATATAAAATAAAATAAAAAGAACCTTCATAAACATGAAAAAAATAAAACCAACTCTATAAAGCTGACCCTAGAACTGAAGCATGGAAGGAGGCGGGAGGGATGAGGACTGGGTGGGGAGGGAGCACAGTAGACCATGGTGGAGGACTATGGATGCTCTGGTGCTGGGTGAGCTATGGTGACTATAGCTGAGGGGGAAATCCTACACTTCCAATACACTAATAAGGATGTAAACAATTGATTCCTCAATAAAAAAACAATTTTAATGTTAATAATATATCATATGTTTCTTTCTGCTTTCATTAGTTTTTCTACAATGATCTATAGTATGACATGCATAATTTTAAAATCATTTTTTTTCTTTTTTTTTTTATTTATTTATTTATTTATTTATTTTTTAAATTTTATTTTTATATTCCCCCATACAATTGCAAACGCCCCATTCTGACCCCAATCCTCCCCTCCCGCCCCCCACCCCCCAAAAAGTGTCTCTGGTTCATAGTTTTTGTTGATTTTGATTTTCACTTTCTTATATTCATTTTCCTGGTCCCTTATTTAAGTTTTCTAGATTCCTGCTATGAGTGAGACCATCCGGTATTTTTCTTTTTCTTTTTGGCTTATTTCGCTGAGCATGATCCCTTCCAGTGCCATCCATGTTGCTGCAAATTGCATGTGTTTATCTTTTTTGAATGCTGAGTAATATTCCATGGTATATATGTACCACATCTTCTTGATCCAGTCATCTATTTTTGGGCATTTGGGTTGTTTCCAAAGCTTAGCTATTGTAAACAGTGCTGCTATAAACATAGGAGTGCAGGTGCTCTTTGGAATTGATGTCTCTGTGTCCTTTGGGTAAATACCTAGGAGTGGAATTGCTGGATCATATGGAAGCTCTATGTTTAGTAGGTCCAGAAATCTCCACACAGCTCTCCATAGTGGTTGGACCAGTTTGCACTCCCACCAACAGTGCACAAGAGTTCCTTTTTCTCCACATCCTCGCCAACATTTGTTGTTGCTAGTTTTTTTAATATGTGCCATTCTCACTGGTGTGAGATGGTATCTCATGGTAGTTTTGATTTGCATTTCCCTGATTACAAGTGATGTTGAACATTTTTTCATATGTCTGTTGGCCATTTGCATTTCCTCTTCAGAGAAGTTTCTTTTTAGCTCTTCTGCCCATTTTTTGACTGGATTATTTTCTTTGTTGTTGCTGAGTCTCATCAGCTCTTTGCAGATTTTTGTGATCAGTCCTTTATCATTAGTGTTGGGTGCAAAAATGTTCTCCCAGTTGGTGGGGTTTCTCTTTGTTTTTGTTATTGTCTCTTTTGCTGTGCAGAAGCTCTTTAATTTGATGTAGTCCCAGCTGTTTATCTTTGTCTTCACTATCACTGCTTTGGGTGATGTGTCTGTAAAGATGTCTTTGATGTGCAAATCCCATAGTGTTTCGCCTATATTTTCTTCTATGTATTTTATGGTTTCAGGTCTTATGTCTAGTTCTTTAATCCATTTTGAGTTGATTTTTGTGTATGGTGTGAGGTAGTGGTCAAGCTTTATTCTTTTGCATGTAGCGACCCAGTTTTCCCAGCACCATTTATTGAACAAACTTTCTTTGCTCCAATGCATAGTCTTTGCTCCTTTGTCAAAGATTAGTTGACCATAAATCTGTGGGTTTATTTCTGGATTTCTATTCGATTCCATTGGTCTGTATGTCTGTTCTTGTTCCAATACCATGCAGTTTTGATGATTATGGCTTTGTAGTATAGTTTGAAGTCTGGGAGTGTGATGCCTCCATTTCCTTCTTTTTTTTCAGTAGAGCTTTGGCTATTCGGGGTTTTTGGTGATTCCATATGAATTTCATCAATAATTGTTCTATTTCTTTGAAGAATGCCATTGAGATTTTGATTGGAATAGCATTGAATCTGTATATTGCTTTTGGTAGGATGGCCATTTTAATAATGTTTATTCTTCCAATCCATGAGCAGGGGATGTCTTTCCATTTCTTTGTGTCTTCTTCTATTTCTTTTAACAGTGTTTTATAGTTTTTCTTTGTATAGGTCCTTTACCTCTTTTGTTAGATTTATTCCCAAATATTTGATTTTTTTTGTTTCGATAATAAAAGGGGTGGTTTTTTTGATTTCTTCTTCTTCAGATTTATTGTTTGTGTATAGGAAGGCTACTGACTTTTGCGTGTTGATTTTGTATCCTGCCACTTTACTGAATTGATTGATGAGTTGAATTAGTTTTTCTGTGGAGATTTTGGGGTTCTCTATGTATATTATCATATCATCTGCAAATAGTGATAGTTTGACTTCTTCTTTTCCTATTTGGATTCCTTGGATGTCTTTCTCTTGTCTTATTGCTCTGGCTAGGACTTCCAGTATTATATTGAAAAGCAGTGGTGAGAGTGGACATCCTTGTCTTGTTCCAGATCTTAATGGAATTGCTTTCAGCTTTTCACCATTGAGAATGATACTGGCTGTTGGCTTGTCATAGATGGCCTTTATGATGTTGAGGTATGTTCCTTGTATCCAAGAATTTCAAGGGCTTTTATCATGAATGGGTGTTGCACTTTGTCGAAAGCTTTCTCAGCATCTATTGATAT